CTGATTTTCATGTTGTGTGCAACCGGATTGCAACTTCTCTGTACTGTTGGGTTATATCCTGTGTTCATAGCCATGACCCCAGTTGATACGTGGTTCTTCTCCGTAGCTCCTCCGGTCTTCGATCCTGTTTTTCTCGGGCTCGGGTATGTGCAACTCGGCTGATTGTATGTTGCATGCAACTGAGCTGCAACTCCTCTGGGCTGTTGATGACATCCTGTTTTCATAGCCAGTGGATACAACGTGTCTCTTCTCCGTAGCTCCTCCAGTTCGTCGATCGTATTTTTCTTCTTGGGCTCTGGTATGAGCAACTCTGCTGATTGCATGTTGCATGCAACTGGACTGCAACTCCTCTTCCTCCTCTGGGCTGTTTGATGATGTCCTGTCCTGTCAGTGAGTACAACCTGTTTCTTCTCTATTGCTCGTTCAGTCTTCGGTCTTGATTTTTTCTTGGGTTCGGGTATGTGCAACTCTGCTGATTGCATGTTGCATGCAACTGGGCTGCAACTCCTCTGGGCTGTTGATGGCATCCTGGTTTCATAGCCAGTGGATACAACGTGTCTCTTCTCCGCAGCTCCTCCAGTCGTCGATCTTATTTTCTTCTTGGGCTCTGGTATGCGCAACTCTGCTGATTGCATGTTGCATGCAACTGGACTGCAACTCCTCTGGACTGTAACTCCTCAGGACTGCTGGATTATATCCCGTCTTCATAGCTAGTGGATACAACGGGTTTGCTCTCCATAGCTCCTCCAGTCTTCGAACTTGAATTTTTTTCTTTGGGTTCGGGTATGTGCAACTCTGCTGATTTCATGTTGCATGCAACAAAGCCATTGCCCCACGTTGGGCGCCACGAATGTGATGAGTGCCCCCAGGGGGTCCGGAAGCGGTGGGGAGTATGTTTTCAAAAAAAAATATTGTTTAATAAAATTTCTTTCATCGGGGGTGTTTTTCTTTCCGAGATGGTTGCCGACCTGCGCCGTGCTCTGGAACAACCTCAGGTGAGTGTTTTCGACTGGTAGATCCTCAAATGGTTGATTAACGAGTTGATTTTCTTGCTGTTTGACTTCTCTCTTGTTCAAACGCAATTGCACACCCATTTTCAATTGATGATCGGTCCGTTGGTTTCAAGCTGACCGATTCCTTTCCGCCACCGTTCCTTGCGCCTGGGGCTCGTCACAAACAATATTTATAATGAGGCTGGCTTGTCGCTTGTCAACATATAGTCTTCACTGCCTAGGATGGTATCTGTCTCATAAGGAATTTAGGACACGGAAGTCTCCCCAAAGTATATAATTTTGATGCCTCCCTTGAGGACATAACCTGAAGCCACCATCTAATACCTGATAGCTGCCCACCATTTTCTCTCCCTTTCTTATGCCTATCATCCCAAAGATAATCGAGTCCATCCCCATTTAATGTCGCCCTCAATGCTGAGATTAGATCTCCCGCTGGTCCTTACACTATATGACGCATACCTCAATCTCCCTCAGACTCACTCTCTTTGTCATACCTCTCTCATCCCACTACAATAAATTTGATCCCGCGTCGACCTCTCAGTCCCTCCCAGCAATTGTTCTAACTCCCTCCAGCGGTACATATCAGGGACAATAAACGCAATTTGTTCAATAGACTCCGTGGTTAGTGTAAGTTTCATCTAAGCTTACTCTTACCTCCCAACGACTTATCGCGCCCTATTCCAACATTGGAATCGTGTGTGCTCTTCCTAGCACCTCTTGGGCTCCCTGGCCCAATATCCTTGAACACCTACATCACCTGACCCTGATTACTTGTCTAAAGGTGCAACGCAGGTAGCGATTACATTATTAGCGTTCGTCGATGGATGTGATTGGTTCAATCAATCTCTGCCGGCCCACTCTCTTCGAACACCTACATCATTTGACCCCGATTACTTGTCTAAAGATCGACGCGGGTAGCGTCAGTTATTAGCGTTCCTCAGTGGCTTATGATTGGTCCGTCAACCTCTGCCGCTCACGGCACATCTCTGTTTCCCTACTAAAACCCCGCGGCCGGACGTTGGTTACTGACCCTTGCAGCCCTTCTGTGAGAGACCGTCTTACGCGTTTTCACCTAACGAACCGGTGGACACAATCCTGCTGCCCGGCGACCGCAGTCTCACTGGGCTCATAGACAGGTACCTACTCCGTACTCTCATGCAGTCATGGCACCCGCAAGTGGCGCCTTTGAATCATTGACCGGTGTGACTCGAAGACTCCATGACTGAATCTATCCTACAATTTTATCCGACGCCGTGGAATCCTGTCCTGCAGATGTGTGTTCAAGCGCGTTAGCGTCATGAGTGATACATGCTGCGATCCTTTCCGACGGTGGACTTACCTCACCTCATCCTGGCGGAATTACCCCTTCGCCTCAATCTATCACCTTCGTATTTTGTCACTCACCTTCGGCGGAGTGCTCCCTCGTCCTGTCTCTCTGACTCACCTCTCAGCTTGGGCGTCTTATGGCGTTCTTTGTTCTGATATCTGCCTAACATATTTACTTACTTACTCCGTAACGTGAGACAGTCCAATCCTAGAAGACTTAGACGTATCAGCAGAGTCAAAAACACATGAAAGTGTTGCAACATACCTCCTCTTCGGCTAGCATCCATCCTTAGATCTTTCCTCCTTTTGTAATTCCGGTTTCAATAGCTATCGACCACTTCAGGGTCACTCCTTCTGTATCTCCTTACCTGTCTGACCCGTAGAATCCCTTCAGTCCATGTGCGCACCGCTGCGCGGTACGAATCAATTGTTACCCGCGACCCGAACAAAAAAAAAATCATTGGATAGAGAAATCTGCGCCGCCAAATACTCAGACCATCTACTACTCCTTTCGTCTACACGATGTTTACGCCTATCAGCCGAAACGTTTCTACCGTAGCTTACTATATTCACTCAGTGACGTCATATTTCTAGGAGATTGCCAGTTTCATACTTGTTGATCGGTAGTGACGTCATAAGATCCTGTCGCCTGCGGGTTAGTACATCCTGACCTCTCATCGTTCAACCTTGGAGACGCTAACTTTGATCGGAATTTCAACTCGACTATTCTGAGTGTTGCCTGTGATTTAATGAAGTAATTCTCAGTAGTGCCCAATCATTTGTGATCATGAATATTTTTATGTGGATTGTTGTCTGGCGTCCCTCGCCACGTTGTCGCAAATTTCTCTGGGGACGTAAGTATTTGCATCAAGGGAATTCTAAGGTAGTGCGCCGGATTAGTCTCAATTTGGCATTTCAATTTAAAAACAATCCAACTCATGTGATTTCATGTTATCTTACTGAACCGATTTATGAGAGTCAATTTTATAATGCAGGTTTTATTGACATACTCGACTAGATGATTTATTTAACTTGCAATTCAGTTGCAATTGACAATCGACTTGTGGTGTTCTAATTTAAGGAAGCTCGGTTTACCGATTGCTATGTTGTTGAAGGTATACAAATTTTGGCAAATGTGATATCCAATTATTCGAGTGGGAACATCAGCAATGAGAAATGGTTATATCAAATCAAGCGGGGACTGTGTCCACTTCCAGTCTTGAGGACAGGTTAAACTTTCTGACAATTTTATGCTATGCAACTGGAATTGCGCGGTCGGTTGGCAGGCCGAGTTCACCACAACAAGCTATGCTTAGTGCGAGCTCTGATTTCTCAACTCTGCCCATTCACCCATTCAGACTAAATTAAAAAAAAGGCAAGAGCAGTAACTTTAACAAGCTAATGGGAACCGTCCAATGGAGAATGGTGCTAATTTCAAACTAAATTGATGGCTCGGCAAAGACTGGTGTAATCAATAGTACGCTCATTGCCATTTCTCCAGTGTTAATGGTAATTTGATTTATTTACCTAGTGGGTACTTTTGCTGGCAAACCTGCTATTATAATCTCAGTCAAGGTAGCTGTCCAGGATAGAGGACAATCCGATAGACAGCCCTTCATTGTATCTGTTCCGCCATCTGACAAAGTTTGTCATGTTCAATGATGCCTTATAAATTTCAATTCCAGGATATCCCTTTTAAGTGAAACCGCACTGGTCTGAAACTGTTGTGCTAGCATCCAAGGCCAGATATGAGATCAGTTGTGACTTGAGAGGTCATTGATCATTGACATTGAAATTCCATGTTCAATAGATCATGTCAATAGAAAGGGATCAAACAACCTTGGATGTTACTGGGAATAACATGACTCGAATTGATGCATGCTACTGATTTATCATCTGAATTTATTAACTGGCATAATCCACTGACCAGTGAGTACTCAAGGGTCATGCGACCTTGTTTCTTAACTGACACTTAGGCAAAATATATTTTTTTTTTAAACAAATTGTTTGGTATCAAGCCGTAATTTGGGTCCATGAGGTGATCTGCCACAACTTCGTAGGTATCATCTTTGCATTCCTCAATTTTAACGTATCCCTCCTAAACTCTGTAAGTATAGTTGTCAGTGGCTTTTCACGCCGCGCATGACATGAGATTGAATGTCATCCTAGCTTGGGGTGGCAATGACCTTTGCCATTTTTGTTGCACATGTTTGTTAGGGAATGACACTAGAAATGTGACTGGGGTGGGTGTAATTTCCTCACAAGTCCCTGGTGCTGCTCAATTGAATCTAACGCCATCCGACTCAGTCATGGTGACTTTTAAGTCTTTCAATTTCTAAGTTTTAGTGATGCGCGCTCAATCATAACACAATTAGTCTCCCCATTCCTGTTTTAGCCTATAATTGTCTGCTAATCTGATGTTAACCTGACTCGCGATGTAGAGTTTGGTTTCGACTGACAAAGGTAACCAGTTTCTCCCAGAATTAGGCCGTAGAGTTGTTCACCAAGATTTACTAAATTTTGATCATATGTGACTGCTGTCTATTTCTCCCCCTTTTGCCACCTGCAAATTTGTCCGTCTTTTCTACTGAGGTCATCGTGGGTCAATCGTTGAAAGAAGGGTTCGTCCAGCTGTCTTAACAGATAATTTCTTTCTCTCAGCAGGTCCATATTGGTGCATTGTTCACGGTTCCGCTGAGCTGAGGGCTTGCTGGGCCAGCGCTCTCCAATCCGACGGGACTGGATGTGAGATCTACTGCCCACGCCCTTGGCTTCCTCTGGTCTACATTAGCAATTCACACTTTGCCTACTGATTTGCAATGAAGTATCATACCCTACTCGGATGTTTACGATAAATTAAGTGTAATTTCAATGCAATGATCACTAAATGTTATTTAGATCATTTGAGAATGTGCCCTGTGATCAAAAGCTATCTTGTTTGATTCCCTCATATGTTAGATGTTGAAACGAAGTTGAAACTCAGACCTTTGGTTTGTTATTGCTCTGAGTCCTTTAAACAAAAGATATTTCATCGAATCTATACGATATCTGTAATTTAAGCCAACGCAGAGAGTTAGGTGATAACCATTTTTAAATGCTTGTAATTATGAGCTTAGTGGTGACATGACCTTGTTCCACACCTGACCGGTGACCATTCTGACTCACCGACGCTTTTGGCGCCGCCTAGTGGATGTAGTTGTAGGTTACACGGGCTAGGTGGCAGTAGAGTGCCACGTATCTAATTCGTACCAAAAGCTTTCATTTATGGGGTCGATCTTTGTAAAGACTGAATTAAACGTTTTGCTTCGACATCCTCCTCCCTCTTTCTCTCTCTCTCTCTCTCTCTCTCTCTCTCTCTCTCTCTCTCTCTCTCTCTCTCTCTCTCTCTCTCTCTCTCTCTCTCTCTCTCTCTCTCTCTCTCTCTCTCTCTCGCTCACTCACTCTCTCGCTTACTCACTCTCTCGCTCACTCACCTTCTCGCTTACTCACTCTCTCGCTCACTCACCTTCTCGCTCTCGCTCTCTCTCTCTCTCTCTCTCTCTCTCTCTCTCTCTCTCTCTCTCTCTCTCTCTCTCTCTCTCTCTCTCTCTCTCTCTCTCTCTCGCTCACTCTCTCTCTCTCTCTCTCTCTCTCTCTCTCTCTCTCTCTCTCTCTCTCTCTCTCTCTCTCTCACTATGATCATTCACATTCGCCCTCTCACTCACCCACTCATTTCAGTCAGTCACACGCAATTGCGTGCCGACACGAGGGACCTCTTGCGGCAGTTTAGGGAACCAGCTTGGTCTATTTCACGCTAGGCGGCACTGCTAGTACTGTCAGCTGCATCTGAGCGCTGTCGGAGTTTGTGCCGAGGGCAATGGATCTTGTAGGTGGCGCTAGTGGTGCTACCGTTGGTGCGTCAATTGACCTGTTAATTGTTTAAGGTCATGTTTAAGGTCAAGGTCATACATTTTTCATTTCGCGCGGACTACAATCGCTCAGTTTAGAGAAAAGCTCACAGGTCCAACATCAGCTAATTAGGGTCTGCATCTCGTTCAGTAAGGTGGCCTGGGGACAATCTGACCTGAATAGAACAAATTCTTTATTCTACATGAAGGACATGAGCTGCGGTAATTTCTCGCTTCCCTCCGTAACCAACTCTAGGCGTGTGCAAGCAGGGTGACATTTTTGACATAATCACGTCACATTGAACGGTAACTCGCTTGATGTTTATGATCCATTGTCTCAAATGATGCATCAATTTAGCAACCGTATCATTTCCACGTTATTCTTTGATATACCTCGAAGGGGGAGCTGGCATCAATATCCGTTAGGTACTGATAATGCTAGGAGAGAAAGGGGGATTGATTGACAGGTTACGAACAGCGATAAATTTATAACGATTGAAAAGGTGATTCAGATTTGTATCGGTTATATGAACGCGAATCACGAAACGACTCAATGCTGATTTAATAACAACCCGGAAGGCGATTCAGACCCCCAGCGTTCTTGTTCTGGCGCTGAGCTGCCGAAGGAGCAGAATAATGTTTGATGTTTATGTTTACTCTCCTTATCCGAATGTAACTGAACACGTCACGACTTCTTGGGCCGCCTTCGTATCAAACCTTATCCAAATGGTGAATCTGTCCCAGGAATGTGGCGATCCTACGCTGACCGTCGATTTATCTCGAATAGCACTTGTAAGAATTGAGAATCGATTGACAGACTTGGAATTAACACTAGATTGACAATGGATTGATACGCTGGCCTACCGAGTTCAAACTAGTTAGATTATGAAACAGCTTATGCTGACCTGCTAGCTTCAAAAAAAAATGTATCTGTGATGGTCGCGTCGTGAGGGGTGATCATTGCATTTCCGTTGATGATGATCAGACGGCCGTGGCGTAGTCTCATTTAACTCCGGTGAACCTGTGGTGTGAGGCCGGCGTGAGGCCGTGTGATCGACGATGACGACTCAATGATAATTACGTTAGCGGTCTCTGTGAATCCGAATCAGCAACATATCTGGAGTAACCCTCCCTTCTTTTTTTTTCCAGACAGATTGTTAAATTTTCACGCTATATTTACAAACGGGCGATACAGCAGTGGTCAAGCTCAAGTCCTAAACGGTGCATTGCGATCGAGATAGTCAACTCGCCATTCTCGATACAAACTTAGCCTTAAACCTAATCCTAGCTCCCTCACCGCAAAAAAAAAAGATTAATTACAACCATCGCCAATTGAACTGTCATGACGTCATCTGACGTAGTTTGACGCGTCAATGGTGACCAGCGCCCAAAAAAATGATACCACCTGACCTGTTCCCCTCCCCTCGAATCCCACACCCCACTGCGGCCGGACCGCGCGCGTGATGGCCGACAGATAGTGCCACCCCAATACCAATGTAATGGTGAGCCATTAGCCTACACTGACCATTACTAACCCGCCCCGGCTGTCCCTCTAACCCCTCTGTCTATCCCATAGACAAGGCCGGACCAGTCAGGCCCATTAGCCCCTCCCCGCCTTTACGAACAGACGCACCACTGCCGCGCTGCTCGGTCGGGAGCGGAATGTAGCGACCCTCTGCCCTCCCTTACAAACAGGTCGTACCGCGGCCTGCCCGGCCGGGACGCAATATGGAGCGCACGAGACCATCCTACCGCCCTCCCCTACACGGTGTTAACCCATTACCCTCCTAATGGTGGCTCAAGTTAGACCTCAGGGAGTGGCATTTGTAATCCAGATCAGAGACATCCGATGGGTAAATGGGAGGTGAATTGTCCATGACGGGGAGGCAGTCTTGATGAGGCGGACAGATGAGATGACTCACTTGACAGTTTGATGATGATTGACACGTCGAATCTCCGTCGCGGCAGCAGAGTCCCTCCGCTCCGGCAGGGGTGGGGTCGGCCAGCCTCAGACCGAGACGTGCCGGCCGACCCGCCGTCCAGATGAGCTCTCCTCCTCGTGGTCTGTCACCCGTGGTCTGATACCGTAGTCTGTTCCCCTCTCTCCTTCTGCATTGAGTTTTGTTCTCCCGTGATTTCCGGGCCGGAGGTTCCGGGCGTCGCCGGGCCTCGCTGACCGGGGCAGAAAATTGGCGACATCCCGTCTCGCATCCGGAGTCGAGACCGTCGCCCTCCTCCTCCATTCCGCCGGAACGTGACGTCATCCTCACTTGCTCGGCTCATCCGTCTCAGCTGTCTCCTGCCGGATGACGTTTTCACACTCGATTTTCGCCGGATGTCGGTCCCTGCCTGTGCCGGACGGCTGACCGCAACGACATCCTCCCACCTTCCTGTCAGCTGCGTCGGCAGGATGTGCGTGGCGCCAGGCGTCGGGAGGCTGGTCCAGCACCGGCAGCAGGTGTTTCCGGCTGCGTTGCGTTTGTCGGCGGCCACTGCGCCGGCCCGGATGGGTGTGTTTGTACTCCACCTTCGGCGAGCCTTTGATCTTCGCTTAATGGTGACCGGCCGACGAGTCGGGGATCGTTTGGTCGACCCCTCCC